GCTAGTCTTTCTAAACTGCTAGTCTTTCTAAACTGCTAGTCTCTTTCTAAACTGCTAGTCTCTTTCTAAACTGCTAGTCTTTCTAAACTGCTAGTCTTTCTAAACTGCTAGTCTCTTTCTAAACTACTAGTCTTTCTAAACTGCTAGTCTCTTCTGCTCTTTCTAAACTGCTAGTCTCTTCTAAACTGCTAAAACTGCTAGTCTCTTTCTAAACTGCTACTTTCTAAACTGCTAGTCTCTTTCTAAACTGCTAGTCTTTCTAAACTGCTAGTCTTTCTAGCTAAACTCTTTCTAAACTGCTAGTCTTTCTAAACTGCTAGTCTTTTCTAAACTGCTACTTTCTAAACTGCTAGTCTCTTTCTAAACTGCTAGTCTTTCTAAACTGCTAGTCTCTTTCTAAACTGCTAGTCTTTCTAAACTGCTAGTCTCTTTCTAAAACTGCTAGTCTTTCTAAACTGCTAGTCTCTTTCTAAACTGCTAGTCTTTCTAAACTGCTAGTCTTTCTAAACTGCTAGTCTTTCTAAACTGCTAGTCTCTTTCTAAACTGCTAGTCTTTCTCTGCTAGTCTTTTAAACTGCTAGTCTCTTTCTAAACTGCTAGTCTTTTCTAAACTGCTAGTCTTTCTAAACTGCTAGTCTTTCTAAACTGCTAGTCTTTCTAAACTGCTAGTCTCTTCTAAACTGCTAGTCTCTAAACTGCTAGTCTTTCTAAACTGCTAGTCTCTTGCTAAAACTGCTAGTCTTTCTAAACTGCTAGTCTTTCTAAACTGCTAGTCTTTTTAAAACTGCTAGTCTTTCTAAACTGCTAGTCTTTTTAAAACTGCTAGTCTTTCTAAACTGCTAGTCTTTCTAAACTGCTAGTCTCTCTAGTCTAAACTGCTAGTCTTTCTAAACTGCTAGTCTTTCTAAACTGCTAGTCTTTCTAAACTGCTAGTCTTTCTAAAACTGCTAGTCTTTCTAAACTGCTAGTCCTCTCTAAACTGCTAGTCTTCTAAACTGCTAGTCTTTCTAAACTGCTAGTCTTTCTAAACTGCTAGTCTTTCTAAACTGCTAGTCTTTCTAAACTGCTAGTCTTTCTAAACTGCTAGTCTCTTTCTAAACTGCTAGTCTTTCTAAACTGCTAGTCTCTTTCTAAACTGCTAGTCTTTCTAAACTGCTAGTCTTTCTAAACTGCTAGTCTTTTCTAAACTGCTAGTCTTTCTAAACTGCTAGTCTCTTACTAAACTACTAGTCTTTCTAAACTGCTAGTCTTTTCTAAACTGCTAGTCTTTCTAAACTGCTAGTCTTTCTAAACTGCTAGTCTTTCTAAACTGCTAGTCTCTTTCTAAACTGCTAGTCTTTCTAAACTGCTAGTCTTTCTAAACTGCTAGTCTCTTCTAAACTGCTAGTCTTTCTAAACTGCTAGTCTTTCTAAACTGTAGTCTTTTTAAACTGCTAGTCTCTTTCTAAACTGCTAGTCTTTCTAAACTGCTAGTCTAAACTGCTAGTCTTTCTAAACTGCTAGTCTTTCTAAACTGCTAGTCTTTCTAAACTGCTAGTCTTTCTAAACTGCTAAACTGCTAGTCTTTCTAAACTGCTAGTCTCTTCTAAACTGCTAGTCTTTCTAAACTCTAAACTGCTCTTTCTAAACTGCTACTTTCTAAACTGCTAGTCTTTCTAAACTGCTAGTCTCTTCTAAACTGCTAGTCTTTCTAAACTGTTAGTCTCTTTCTAAACTGCTAGTCTTTCTAAACTGCTAGTCTTTCTAAACTGCTAGTCTTAAACTGCTAAAACTGCTCTTTCTAAACTGCTAGTCTTTCTAAACTGCTAAACTTTCTAAACTGCTAGTCTTTCTAACTGCTAGTCTCTTTCTAAACTGCTAGTCTTTCTCTAAACTGCTAGTCTTTCTAAACTGCTAAACTGCTCTTTCTAAACTGCTAGTCTTTCTAAACTGCTCTTCTAAACTGCTAGTCTTTCTAAACTGCTAGTCTTTCTAAACTGCTTTCTAAACTGCTAGTCTTTCTAAACTGCTCTTTCTAAACTGCTAGTCTTTCTAAACTGCTAGTCTTTCTAAACTGCTAGTCTCTTTCTAAACTGCTAGTCTTTCTAAACTGTCTTTTCTAAACTGCTAGTCTTTCTAAAACTGCTAGTCTTTCTAAAAGTCTCTTTCTAAAACTGCTAGTCTTTCTAAACTGCTAGTCTTTCTAAACTGTTAGTCTCTTTCTAAACTGCTAGTCTTTCTAAACTGCTAGTCTCTTCTAAAACTGCTAGTCTTTCTAAACTGCTAGTCTTTCTAAACTGCTAGTCTCTTTCTAAACTGCTAGTCTTTCTAAACTGCTAGTCTTCTAACTGCTAGTCTTTCTAAACTGCTAGTCTTCTAAACTGCTAGTCTCTTCTAAACTGCTAGTCTTTCTAAACTGCTAGTCTTTCTAAATTGCTAGTCTCTTTCTAAACTGCTAGTCTTTCTAAACTGCTAGTCTTTCTAAACTGTTAAACTGCTAGTCTCTTCTAAAACTGCTAAG